CCATCGACAAGGTAAATCCACAACTTTGTCCAAATTCGGCGCCATTTTGTCATCCCCGCATGTCGGTTGTCAACAATTCAGCATTGTTACTCTTCCATCCAAGCCATTTCCATTCCACTAATAATAAATTTAACCCATTATAACGGTAGGAAATTAAAAAATCTAAACAAAATATAAGAAATGAGTCATTTTATCACCCTGTAAAATGTTGTTTACGAGTCCTCCGAAACATTTCGTACAAATCTCGCGTGGTTTAGCACCAGGGACTTGGCAGGGGGAGAGTAGAGACTTGAAAAAGGAAAGCCCACACAGTATGGTAAAACCCAGGGACGCCGGAAAGTCGATAATTGGGGGGTGGGCAGATATTCATCCCCGAGCCGACGGCGCGAAGCGCCGTGCGAGGGTATTAATTCCCCCCGGCTATTTACACCCAGGGAAACGAAAGCATTAGCGAAGTCTAAAGTTCATCAAATATCGCGGGCGTGGGTCACTGTGCGTGTTTCGGTGGGTGGTCATCCTCACTGATCTCATAATATAGCGGACTGTAATGAATAGCCAACACTGATTGGTCCAATTTAACACTGCTAAAGACTGCTGTAAACATACATGCGATAGTCTAATACATGTACATCAGTAACCTTTAAACACTTTTAAAAAACAAAACATGATATTAAAGCTTATTACATCAACATAATAACAAGAAACACTAAATGTCAATATTACGAAACATTATTTATCATTTGGTAAGTTCTGTTACCTAACGCAGTATAAAACGACTAGTCCTTCTTCCTAACGAGCTCATTCCTTCAAGTCTTAATTAATGGTCCTGTTTCTTGTGGTTCAGCAGATACTCTTTCCTGCTCCTCTTCTTCATCTTCACTTTCATCATCCCCGTTAGCAAGCCTACTCAGCCGGATGGCTTCGTTGGGAGACAAAATAACATTTCAACTGTCTTCAAGTAAGAAATTGTCCACCTTTGCTAAGATGCAGTTCGGCGAGTTTTCCATTGATATGTCACCGCAAGTGTAAATCATTGGATCTGTTGTTTGATTAAGCCACTGAAATTTTACAGCGTTGCTCATGTATTTTCTAGTAGCCAATTCGACATAAATATTTTGCATCAGTACGGCAAGTCAATAGGGGGACAATTCTCTCCTACGATTATGTCTAATTGCAATTACATCATCTTTTAAGTAGACCACACACACTCTTATTGTTGTCTGTGCTTTGTCCTCAATGTGCACCATCGGAAACAAAACACACAGTTGTTACATATCGGGTATGTCTGATGTATTTGAGATGACTTACGGACGCATACTCAGGGTGCACGGCAAGGTACCTGTCTGTTAATTCTTTAGTCTTTGAGCGGACATTTGTTTGTCGAACTCCTCTTCCATGTTCTTCGATAAAATTTTTCATCACTCTGCTTCTTCTCGTTTGTCTTCTTTGGCATCCCCACTTTCTTTTTGTGTGGAAGATTGTCTGCTGGCCCTGCCAGATAAATTTGGTGGTTCTTCGTTAATAATCTTCTCGGGATAAAACGAATATGGGCCAGTGAAGTAGCTGAAGTGTTTCTCGGGTAAATCCAAAGCATGCTAACTTCAACACAGTGAGCTCGCTTGTGTGCGTATTCTGCAACGCATACCTTTAAAGAAAGTCTCTACGCTTAATGTTGTCAGGCTTGTGAAGCGAATCTTGTTGGCCAATTCCTCATGATTAATCTCCATCAACGTGTTTAGTAGACCGGTGAGTGGGTCTAAGACAATTTAAAATGATCGTCTCGTTGTTCGCTGTATAACCATGTCTGGGCCGTTTGTATTTAACTTCCCCGTCCTAACTCTAGCTTCGTCCTCTAGATTAGCAAAGAAGGCAACAACTTCCTGTACAATTCTCAGGTAGTCGTTGTTTATTATGGGTAACTTCTACTGTTTTGCCTTTTTATCAAGCCTAAACAGATTTGCGTATTTAGTCATTTCTTGTTGGAGTGGAATCAGCCCTACTGCTGAAATGACAATGACCCTTCCAGATCCTTATCCATAACAAGCACTTTTGAAACGCCTTGGTACTGAGTGCACTCCTTTTGCAGGCTTTTTAATAATTCTGGTATTCTACATGTTTAAATATGTACTTCCATATATCAGCCTCCTAGAGTTTATAATTCACCTCTATAGCTTCATATTAAAGATGAAAAATAAAAATGATCGGTTATTATTTATATTTCACTGTATATACTATTAAATTATACCTGACTAACCTGAGAATTGAACAACGGCAACGCTAAATATTTATGATATTTAAATCTCAAAGGGATATAAAAGGGACGATACTGAGGGTGGAAAATGGGGGGGGGGGTATGGGTCACGTTTCACAATGAAAACAAAAGCCGTTTTACCAATTCACGTATCTCAAAAAAGCAATTTCACATTTTAATAAAAATAACATAATAATAATACTTAAGTTTATTAATAGTATGCTTTATTCATGGTACAGCATCTACGCTTTAGGTTATCTCACTTCTCTGCCTGGCAGTTAAAAATTGCATTATAACTTACATGTTTCAGTGACGTGTATGTGCGACGACCTCCAAAAGGACCAACAATCAACATTTAATTTGTACGACTTTTTCATATTAATAAATAATAATATGTATATATTTGTCGCTACAAGAAATTAAACAAACGTTTGTATGATTGTATTTAGCTTTTAGTATATTTTATGCAGCCTTCTTCTATTTTCGTGAAATAATTCATCTCCCCCCCCGTTACTTTGTCACGCGATATTTGTACGGAATGTTTTGAATGACTCGTGAGCAAAATTTTGCAGAGTGATAAAATGGCGCATTTCTTATATTTTGTTTAGATTTTTTAGTTTTCTACCGTTATAAAGGGTTATAAATTTATTATTAGTGGAATGGAAATGGCTTGGATGGAAGAGTAACAATGCTGAATTGTTGACAACCGACATGCGGGGATGACAAAATGGCGCCGAATTTGGACAAAGTTGTGGATTTACCTTGTCGATGATTAAACAGGTATGATCTACTTGAAACCAAGTTGAAACTTGTTTAAAATGTTCTTGATACCATTATGTCTGAGATGATCGTTTACATTTTTTGTAGGATGTCGACGAGATCGCCGATAAACAGCGGAGTAAAGTGGAGAACTTGGCCAAATACGTCCATTTGCAAGAGGTAGGCACATTTTAAATTATTATTTCGGTCAGAAAACATTAACTATTTTACACCAAACCAATGATGATATATTTAAATAAGTACCAATGTTTCCATCAAAAAGATTTAGGAAAAATGGTAATGTAAGTCCACTGCTGTTTATCTGAAATTGCAAGCCACAAATTGACGTTAACTATGATTATTGGATGGTCATTTTCTTGTGAAATATTAGTGCTAGGCATTTCACACTTACCAATGACCACCCCCCAAAAGTACCATCTCTGAACCATATAAACACCTCAGAATAACCAAAGCTTTTACGGTTTGGTAGATAGCAGTATGGCGAAAACGTCGTTTTTGGGTGTGGTCAGTTTCGGACGTTTCGTCCCGGATTGGGGTTCGGGCAGCGTTACCATGTTGACCGTCATGGTCAACTTGCCCGAAAACAGTTGAGATTATCTGTCCTAAACGAAATGCATACAAACTCATATACAGGTCCTCGACTATATTTTCCGATAGCTTGTTTCTCGAGGATTAAAAATCTATAAAATTTACCTTGTCTTGGAGCAGCAAGTATAGGAAATTTTAAAGAACAAATCAATTTCGCGCATTGAAATTAAGTGGTCTTAATTTATCTACAACCGTTTCCATTAAACCTGGTTCAACTGGTCGTAATTTATCGGCGATCTATTGTACTCTTTTCCAATAGACAAAGCATTTTACACACCAATGATCACAGACAATGGAAATCCCCGATTCTTACGACCAGTGTGAACCAGGCATTAACGTTCGCTTTGCCCGCGCGGGGTGAAGCGTTCATTGTTTTTGAAGCCAGTCACGCCCGCGTGAGCAGATTTTCAAAGCCCACTCCGCCCACACGGGCAAAGCGACTGCAATGGAAAATTGCCTTAAAATGCTAGCCGATGCCAGGGCCTTCTCAGCACAAAGGTCCTGAGGACGAGGTTGATGGTCAACTCCAAAAAAAAACACAGTTACCAGACCAAGTTAACTTTCATTGTCAACCCTACTGACTTGTCCATAAGCTGCAAAAGGGTTCTTTATACAAAGTATCTTCAAAACAATTCAGTACAATTCAGTTACCCAAAAATTCGTTAGATTTCCTTGATTCCTTTTTTCCCTCTTTTTCCCCTCTTTGATACTTCTTTGTTCGGTCAAAATATCCTTGAAAAGTAAATTTCCTTGACATCCAACTTGCTGCGAATGTAAGTCGAATGCCATTTATAGACATTAAAAAGGACTAAAAAATGCGACCGATTACTGTCATGACTGACGCTAAAGTTTAATGCCAGTTGAAATAGTGAACAGTCAGTATTGTTTGATTCTAATTTTTAATAGTTTACTTAAAAAAGGACTAAAAAGTCACTAAAAAACTTAACGTCCCTTATTCTTGTCCCGCCTCCCTCCCGCCCTCGCTTGACTCCCGCATCCCGTTCAGTCTTCTCTCGCTTCCGGCCCACCATCGGCGCACCTCCGGTCTACCTAACGCCCACCTCTCGCACCAGTGACCTTTAATAACCTCACTCTGAATAACAGAGGGCAAGACAAAGTTTGTCTTGTCAATGTTCAATTACTTTACAATATTGGCTGCAATGACCCCAAGGGTTTTGTTTGTAGCCTTCTGTGCGCACTTAATATGACACATTTTTTGAACTCACTTCAAGTAGTGAATAGTCATATACAAACTCAGCATGCACGTTTTGAATTTCTGAGTGTTTATCATTTTCCATTTGTCGTTCTTTAGAGACGTCCAGTGGGATATTTGAAACTTTAAACAGACATTCTTGTCTTTATATTCCTCAAAACTCCAACCATGGAAAACAATACAACGACGTATGTTACCACAGTACATAGCAAGATTATTCTTTCATCAATCGTGTTTAAATTCATCGCAATGATTATTGGACTTTTGGGAAATATCATAGTTATAATTTATACAACTCTCCTGATTAAAGAAAAGACAGCGACATCTTACTTGGTGGGAAACTTGGCACTGGCAGATCTTCTGGTGTGTTTAACATTTTATCCAGTATGGATCATCGAGTTTATACAGACTATATTGAACATTGATAGTGATCAGGGTCTGTTTTGTAAGTTAAGTCGTTCTACCATCTGGTCATTCTTATTTGCTTCAGTAGCTGCACTTCTCGCAATAACCGTTGATCGTTATTTATATATTGTAAAACCTCTGAAGTATCCGCTGATTGTGACCAAACGACGAGTTTTTCTAGCTATTTCAGGAATTTGGCTGACTTCGTGTTGTTTTTTCGTTGTTTTTCTAGTTAGTTATAGATACGACTTCAGATTAAGAAGATTATGCGACATTAAAAAGATGGATATACATCATCATTTTATTAATAAATTTATTGTCTACTTACCCCTGACTTTAATAGTAATTCTTAATATCTGGATTTTAATTGTTGCGGAGAAACAACGAAAACGTATCTTGGCTGAAACAACGCTACCCGTTACAACTTCCAATGGACAACATGCAAACAAAATGTCTGCTATACATGGATTTTTTCGCGCTCATAAAGCAGTTAAGACATTTTCTATTGTTGTGGCAGTGTTGGTCTTCTGTGTTCTCACTCCAAATGTGGTTGGTCCGGTCCTATACTACTACTGTAGCGACTCATGCAAACAGATGTGGTACGTATTTTTTCACTATGAATTTTATGGAATAAATTCGATCGTGAATGCTTTCATCTATGGAGTCAGACATATAAAATACAGAAAAGGTTATCGTTATATTCTTTTTAAAATTCTTCGCTGTACGAAACTCTGAAACAGATCGAGGATTTTCCTTCGCAAATCACAAAAGTATATCGATATCTCTGCGTTAGCTGTCGCGGTTGTGCGAATATATTAAGAAGAATGCAATTATATTAAACCGAGCTGCGTGAAGACGGCTGGAACTTAATGGAACATGCTAAATTATGGAACATTACAGCAATTTTAAAATACTTTAACAAAACAACTTTTTCTTCCTGCACATGGTGAAATGAAATACTATAAAATACTTCAATTACGTCGGAACAGATCTTTTCTATTTCTGTTCAAATTATCGACGTGCAACCGCAAAACTCCTACTTCGAACCGCACGATGAGCACGAACTCAATCACGTTGCTGCCTGCAGCCACTAACCGCACGAAACGCAAAGTTAAACAATGGGTTAAGTTCACATTTGACGCTCACTTCAAAAGGAAGTGATTGTATAAAAACCAAGTCGGAGTAAATTCAAGTCTAAGACGTGAGAATATAAAATAAATCAGAATCACGAATAGTTCATAAGTTCACTGATATTTATTTGTTTATATTTTGAACTGCTATATTTCTAAAATATTATATACTAACTGAATATCTAATATGGACTTTTCAGGTTCGCTATTTTTTGTAAATGAGTACAAACTCTACGTTTCCCTAATTCCCTTTGTTATGAGCAGAACTAATTTGCAGAACGGACTTTACAACATCTTTAACTGCAAAACAGGTTGTTGAAAGGGAGTTAAGAGTGTATACAATCAACTGTGGAGTCGTGGACGCATTTTGTCAAATGCTGATAAAAGTGTTTTCATGCACTCAGTATCATCTAAAATAATTATGTGAGAATCATGGGCGAAAAATGTAGGGGGCGGAAAGAAACGTGCCCGACTTTTTCGAAGTTTGCACAAAATTGACCACAAAATTTACAGAATTTGTCTCATTTCTTTTTCTAATACACCAAAATTGCCCGACTGTTCAGCGAATATTGCCCGACTGCCCACCAACCCCCCCCCCGCCCGGTACGCCCATGGTGAGAATATGTAAGAGTGTACTATGAGAAGTTTGTAATTTAAGGTGGCTCGATATAATTATCACAATAACCCTGCTCAAGAATCGCGAACTCAAAACCGGGTGACCATTTTACGCGCAGGTCACGGAAACTGATTAACAAAATGAAAGAACTTCCAAAATGATCTACATGAGCAGTTTCTCGCGCCATATCACGCCATTGCGCGTGTTCTATAGCGTTTTATGTCAACTGCTGACGTCATTAGAATTTTCCATCTTGCACAAACAATGCGTTATATCTCTTTATTTTGTCTGGTGAACTATGTTCAAATTTTTCATGTTGTATTGCACCGTTAAAACTTTCGTTATTCAAAAAAAAGATAAATTCTGTAATGCCAAAAAAATTTTACCAAAGAATATGACATTTTCGCATTTTCCAAAAAAAAATGGCTTTACAGAATTTTTTATATTTTGCTAATTGTTAGCTTTTCGTCCAAGTAAAATAATGCACGGAAAAAAAATTGGGGGTCACAATGCTTTTTTTCCAACTATACGAGACGATAGGCCATTTTGGAGTGAATTTCGTACAGGTATGTCGTCATAGCAACGAACTATCTGTTACTAAAACTAATATAATTTGAAAGTAGAGTTATCAAAATATATAAAAAAACCAATATCTGCTGAATAAATCCTAAAAGTGCGTAGTTTGAACATGTCAAATTGTTAAACAGCTGGATTTTTGAAAACTGTATCGAGCCACACACAACATTCCACCACGATAGAGTTAATATTTTCAACATCAATTTAATATATAGTGTAGAAAGTGAATTTATTAAAAAGGGTGAATTATATGCAATGTTCCGCACAATGGGCAAGCATATTCCAGTTAAACAACTTTCCAAAAGAGAACTGAAAATACAGTCAAAGCCATGAATTTCAACTGCTATAAGAAAAATCTATACAGGTCAAAAATGGATTTTATAAAAAATATCTTAAAACTAAATCCCCCTATTATCATTCCAAATTTAAGTTCTATAGAAACAAATTAAATCATCTTTTGCGAATAAGTAAAAGAAATTACTATAGTGATTATTTTAACAAAAATACAAATAATGGTGAGTTAATTTGGAAAGGTATAAAACAAATTATTCGGATTAATCCTAAAACATATCAAACACCTGTAAAAATTATAGATAATAATCGTGAAATAACTCATAAAAATGAAATTGCTAATATTCTATGTGGATATTTTTCTAATATTGGTGAACAGCTTGCGAGCGCTATACCAAATGTGAATAAATCACCATTAGATTACATGGCCACATCTCCTACCTTTCATATTGCTCTAAATTTCGTGTCGTCGTGAGCGGTGAGCGTACCAGTCACGTGGCAGATTCGTAAAATACGACAAAAACCGAGTTTTCCGACGAGCATTTTCATGCCGGGTTTTCGTCGAAGAAACGCAAAGAAATATTATTTGCCGAAAATTTGCATAATTGAGCGCTTCAGAAAAATAAATCGAGGTAGGCAAAGCTTTACTGTTTTTAGCTTACCTTATATTCTGTTATTTGTTATGATTTTGGAGCCTTTGTGCTCGCATTGGTTTATATTTATCAGCCGTTTTATAACATTTATATCGTGAAGGCTATGCCTATACGCTATCAAAATACTCATTTGTTGTTGCATGCCATATATGGCATGCAACTATCATATAGCTTAAAATTCGTGTCCGTTGTTGGTGAAACTTGCGGCAGATCACGTGGGACGAACATAATAACAAATTGACAATACTAAGGCATAAATCGCATAATTATATATTTTGAATCGTGTGCACGTTTTCTTCCATGGTTTTCGTCGAGCAAATGCAAAGAAAATGTTGATTGTTCGCCGAAAATTTACATAATCGAGCGCCTTAGAAAAATACATCGAGGTAGGTAAAGCTTTGCTGTTTTAACCACAGGCAGCCCAATCTCTGAACGTCCTATATTTTTTGAATATTTAAACGTTATTATATTTTAAAATAACAAAATAATTCAAAAAATATCAACACTATATGTAAAAAATATATCTCACTTGTTAATAGAATCCATTTGTTGAATCCACTAGTTGATGCGATTGCTTTACGTTTTTGTCGTACTTGAACGGTCATCAGTACTGGCACTGAACGACATGGCCGTATAGGACATAAAAACATTCCATCAGGGGGGAGGAACTGGACTGGAATGAGGGGGCTTTCAAAGCAACACGAAAAAACACACGATATAAATAGAAATTATTACTTTATCATGCTGTATTCGACAATAATCAAGTATTAAACATTTATATCGTGTGTTAATAATATAATAATAATCTGTTTAATTAATCACATTGCAGTCTCTACTGAATTACATGATTATAAGTAAATACATTAAAAATTAAATTTACAAATAAAATTGAGTTCAAACCGTTCAATGTTCGTTCTGAATAGTCAGTTTAAATCTGTCCACAAATTATAATTGGGTCCCTGAATTAATATACACGAGTACTACTAAATCAATAATACATTAATAATTATATTTGACAGTTATAAAATTTTGAAACCGTTCTGTGTTCGTTTGGAGTGACCAGCTTGATTCGGACCTAAGATTATAATTATGAGTATTTGGATGTATACGAGTTGCAACAACATCCTTAAGAGGATTTATAGGACCATTGTCAAGCTTTAATTTCCGAATAAATTGTTCACAGGAATTATGTCTACGCGTACTTAACTTTTTTAGACCAGTATAATTCAATGCGTCTTGATACGACATTTCGGGAAGCAAGATACGTAATGCTCTTCTCTGTATCGATTCGATAAGGTCAGACTGGCCTTGGGTTAGCGTTGGCCACGCAGGTGAAGCGTACTCAATTCGGGACCGAATGAAGGAGGAATATATAGTGACAAGGTCTTTATCGCTTAACCCAGCCTTTTTTAACTTCCGCAATGCATAGAGTCTAGAATTTGGTTTTTTAATCACATAGTCGACATGATCACACCAAGATAGATCCTCTCTCAGTAGCACACCGAGCAGTTTAAAGGAGGATACTGATTGCACTGGCGAACCATCTATATAGATCGCATTATCAAGTGGAAGGTGGTATTGGAGGAAGGATATTGTCATCTCCTTACATTTCTTACTGTTAAGCTTCATTCCTCTACTTGAGGCATACTGAGATACATCATT